TGCTGCTGCTACTACTACTATTACTGTTGCAAATAAATTATTATAACTACTACAACTAATGAGCAGGAGTCCCTCCGATTGGAAGCACAGATCAAAAGGAGTCCAATTTTCGCAAAGGATCGTCCTTTCCATGGCATGCACCATGGCCTAGTCGCCTGGTAGTACTGCCACGGTCTTTTGGACGCATGCAGAGGCGCTTTGAGCCAGATTTTGTGGTCGAGGGCTTGGTGCAATTTTGGGGTTTCGGCCTTGGTTCGGGTTTCGTGACCTCGAAAACATGTAGTCGGTCAGAGCAGCAACTTCCAAGTACCACACCTTACACCCATAACTGTTGTTTACCATCGTGCACGGAAAAAGTTGTCTTCTACTGCGGCAGCGCTTTCATCAAGCGATTGTGCAATCTGCTGTTTGTGTCGAGAAACCCATCATGAACCGTGAATGTCCGTGAATCCTAAAGAGAACCCACCATCTCCCATCGGCCTTAGTCCACGCTGTCGGAGGTGGAGCACTGATTGTGCCCTTGCTCTCATCGGCCTGGCAGCAGGATGTTGCTGGGGCATCGACACGTTGCACGAAGCTTTTGAAATTCGGGGAACCTCGTGACCATGAGGGTCTCTTTCTGGCATCCGAAGCAGAAAAGCGTCAGAAATAACAAGAACCTCATTCCTCCGATCCGGCCCGCAAGGCATGTCACAGCCTCCGCATGCACGCTCCAGGCATGCACGAAGCGACGGATAGAGACGAAGCCCCCTGCATCCACCTCCGACGTCAGACGTATGTTGTTCAGTCTTGCCCAGCTGCAGAATCTTTGCATAGACACGGATGAGGGCGTGAACTCCAATTCCTTTCCGTAGTGTGTCAGGTCTAAGCCCTGCCCAGACGTAAGAAACAAGGGCTTAAGGCCCTGCGGACCGAATCCGACACAGAGCAATATGAACAGGTCAGAGACCTACGCTACTACATGAAACGGCAAGCAGCCCCTCTGTGCCCCGCTTCCCAAGCCCATGCTGAGAGCCCGACGCGAGGACGAAGGAAATAAACACAAACGCAAAGCAGCACCTCAGGTCGAAGACGTGGCTTCCCTCCCGGATTGATGGGTGCTCTTGAGCTCTTGAGCTTGCAAGGCTTGCGAAAAGCAAGAGGCTCCAAGCCTGGAGCGAAAACTGTTGTGACCGCATCGGGGACCAAGAGAGAGGCTTGGAGCTGAGGAATTATCTTGAAGGGCTGTGATACACGTGGACTTCGTACCTGGACACAGTATAGACAGCGAGTAGGCTGGCTGGAACGAACCAGTATAGAATAGCACGCGTTCACCGAACTTCAGAAAAGCAGGGCGCAGCAGGCAGTGTGAGGCGCCGCTGCGAAAATTGTCGTGTGGAACCTCCTCGGAAGGCTTCGGCATTAAGGGCTTCCAGCTTCAGGGCTTTGAGGCTTTTCGATTTAGGGTTGCCCAGAGCCCAGGGTTTCACACCGCTGCGCACTTTCGCCCAGTCTGCTCCGTCATTGCGACCCCTAGACCGACAGTTCTGGAACGTTTTCCAGGGTTTGGCTTCGTGCACCTTTGGAACGCAGGTCCGCAAACAGACTTCACACTATGCGGCAGCATTTCCATGGCTCCACACACTGTGAACGACAGCGAGTCGAGAACTTGGCAAGGCCAGGAAAGGATAGGCAAGCTTCACGTTGCAGCTGGATCTGTGTAGAGTTGTAGGAAAGGCACTACTCATACCAATCAGATTTACAACTGCCGAGCTCATAAGAAGTAGAGAAAGAGATTTCTACTCTTATGAATCTACAAGACTGAAGATCTTCAGAAGCTTTCAGCCTCAGCTCGGGCTTCCGGTCCTCCCCAGCGCAGCCACCAAGCAGGCCGTCGGGGCGACCTTCAGGTCGGGTCACCGCAGGAGCCTTGTGGGGAGCCTCTGGGACTATCTGGAAGATTGCTTTCCTGCTTGGAAAGCCCAGTGTCCTTGAATACTGTAATATCTGTTCGAAGTGGAAGTGGACAATCCGTTTTGGTCCAGGGACAACGCCACTTGCATTTCCTCCTGTGTGACACCAAGGTCGAGATGGGAGCCGTAGCAGGGCACTGGGCATAACTTCCGGAAGTGGTTGTTGTGTCATCGTGAGTTTTGCTTCGTGACCCAACTTCCCCCCTCGGCCGCGCACTCGCACTGCCCCCTCTCGAAAGAAAGCTGAAGCTGAACAAGAGAGCCAAGTGAAGACCCAAAGAAGCTTGGTGCCCTGCGAAAGCGGTAGTTTCCCGCCCTGAGGTTTTGATTGCGACTTTGCAGCGCAAGCAGAACCGTGACTTGCAGAAGGATTCTTCTTGTGGCACCAGTCTTTCAAAACTACCTCCACTGGACCCGGCCTAACAGAAGACTTTGGCGGACTTGCAGCCCGCATCGGGCACAGCCCTCTTTTCATGCTCTCGTGCCCCGAAGCACGCCTGCTACTGATAGTCCTCCTACTACTACTACTACT